TTCTGATGATCGTGAGTGAGTGAGTGAGTGTCATAAATGTGAAACTTTGCTTTCACTTAACTTCGGAACTAAATTACCTACAGACTTGAAATTTTGGATTTTAAGTACGTGATTATAGTTTACTAGATGACGAAAATTTGTGCGTTCTGGTCTTATCCGGAGGTACTCAAATAGGGGCCTGAAAATGCGGCGAAATGGTTCCAGTAAAGGATGGTACGGCAGTGTTTGCTTCGCGCTCGACTTGGCGGGGCCACTACTGTGCCCCCCGATGTTTATGTACAGAACTTCTTGTAAGGTAAACAAGTTTCAGAAGTTTATACGAGTACGTAACTAGCGACTCGCACAGGCTTTGCTTGGGTAGGATCTATTAATATGGCTTATTTAGATAAGATTATAATAATCAAAAATCTCAAAGTTTTTTAAATAATATACAGCCTAGAACACTCCGGCATTGTTTTCTATCGGCTATTTAAATTTCATTAGAATCGTTTCAGCAGTTCCAAAGATTAGCCCGGACAGACTGATAGACAGGCGAGTAGACAGACTGAATTTTTTTTTAAATATTTATTCATGTCTTAGTTGCATGCAAATAACCTCCTCAACTAAATTGTCGGTAGTTATTATTATATTACTGCTAGTCACTTCAATTTTGTTTAAATATAGATATTTCCCATGTTTTCCGCCAAGTGGGCCAATAACCTAGGTTACTGATTGGTCAAAATCAAAGGTGCCAAATATGGATGTCATTGTTTATCAACCATGACGAAGACTTAATTAACTTTTTGAAAGATCTATGCCTAGCATGGTTTGTTTACGAACTGATAAAGAAAATATAAACTTTTACTCGAGTCGGATTTAGAAAAATTAACTATAACCACCATGCTTAGAGTAAATGGATTTATAATATCATTAAAATTTTCGCACACATTGCCTAAGATGCATGATTTCACCATGGACCCTTCGTGTGGCTGTCAATGTTTTAAAAAACAAACAAACTAAGAAATAAACTTATAACTTGTTTAGGTAAACCAATAACTATTTCAGTACGGTGTAAAGTAATCACTGAGTTTATGCGGCGGTGTCCCTTTTCATTATACTAGTTTGGCTTTACAGGCCAATATGAATAAAACATAGAGAGGGTTAAGGGCAATTATTAACGAAATGTTTACAACAAAAGCGAGGGTCCAAGAAGGAGGGTCCGACGTTTGGAGCGGTATTTATGCGTATGTTGATGAACTAATGTTTACTTCAGTTTGTGAGAACAAAGACTCGACTGTTTTATTAGTAACTAGTTTTAGCCGTGATTTCGTCTGCGTGGATTTCTGACATATGAAAAGTTTGGTTGAATTAAAACCTAATTTTTCTATATTGATTTTATGATTATGCACAATTTTATTATTTAATCAGAGTATTTACATCAAAAATTAATTACAAAGAGCGCAAATAGCACCAAAATAAAAGCCTTAAAAAAGTGTAACCAACTGATAATAATTTCAAAAAGTAGATAACGTGGTGAACCATGTTTTGTGGTACTCCTTGGGGATAGTCTTTGTTCAACAGTGAACTTGCGAAGTATTGTACATGATTACGATGATTTATTTCAAGTATTATGTCACTAAACAAATAACTTGAGGATTTCGCCTCTTGTCAATATTTTTAAATTACATTTTTACAAATATTATTTTGATTGTAACTATGCATGCAAGTAATAATTATTGTAAGTGATAGCAAAAAGAAAAGAAAGACTAACCTTAAATAATCCCCGATAAATAAAAATGAATCTCATGAGATTCGCTTTTAAGCTGCTATATTCATTCGACATGTGGTTCTACGTACACTATCCCCCATTGCTTGGTGAACGCAGAACAAAATGTAACAAACCTAATGTTGGTGATCACAAACCAAATGGTATGCATAGCAGTTGATATATTCTAGAAAAATGAAATATATATATTGATAGAGAAAAAGTAGAAGGATGGAGTAGAATATTAAATGCAAAGTATTTTTAAATGAAGTGACAAAACCTACAGTCCATCTTATGGTAAGTGGCTACTGCAGTCGATGGAAACCTGCAGCCGACTTAAAAAAAAGAAGGCTACAAATGAGTTAATGAAGATGAAATGCCTCACAGCCTGTCATTATAGTGGCTCTATACACCTATCAGACCAGATCATAAAAGTGCAAACAACTTGTATTTGGTGGAAGAAATATGTAAGAGGGTACCTACATAGACGGACTCTTAGTCAAAAAAGCTTCTTATTCAAAAATTTCGATTTGGTTAGACAAAATTCATAAAGCAGAGAGTTATTTGGACCATGTTGAGCCAAAAAAGTATCTCATGTCAGTTTGAGACCTTTAGGTCCCATGCTTATGTGTGATTTACGAGTATAACAAAATAGAATATACCGACTGGCATGTCACAAAATGCAACTATTTCGATATAGTGCTAGCAACGTATCACATCTTACAAATATTTTCATCTACACCGATATAAACGTTTGTTACTCCACGAGAATACTTTATAATAAATTTTCTGCACGAGAAAGTACAAGGAATTAAAACGACAAAGTTCTTGCGCCAACCTTAATATTTATAGCGGCCAAGTTCTTATATGCCTCGTTCATGACCACAATGTAATCCATTAACAACTTTCTTAATCTGGGTCCAAACCCTCATTTAACCTATAATTTGTTCAGTTGAAACAGCCCTTTGTATTCTTTGAGCTATTTCGCTTGTCTTGGTTTCTAAATTTAAAATCTTAAGTTGCATATTCTGATTGTATTATTTATTTAGAACATTAACATATTAAATTCGTTTAAGTAAGGGTTAAGACTATACTTTTATTATTTTTTTAAAATATGTTTATTTTTTCAAATGGCGAACAAAAAATAAGTTTAAAATTATTTATATGTTGTTAGGAATAACTGGCATGTTTAAGAAATGATGTGATTGATTTTGACAAACATTTATGATAAAGGGAAAAACATTTTAAATTGTGTACAAAATCCAATTTAAGTGGTAGTCCCATGCTGTAGTCTATATTATAGTTTTGGCACGAACGAGTCTCGACCGGGAAATGACAACGCTCTCACATAACATTTCGAACGCTTTGTCTGAACCATATCGGTTAGAGTGCGGGCTGAGACAGGGTGGGCTAAGCTCACTTAGTCTCTTTAATCTTTATATAAATGGACTTATTGAGGCGCTTAGTGGCATGCATGTCGGGTGTCATATAGATGGAATGTGTGTAAACAACCTGAGTTATGCAGACCACATGGTGCTTCTGAGTGCATCAGTATGTGGGTTAAGAAAATTGTTAAGTGCTTGTGAGACATTTGCAGCCGTAGATGGATTGAAGTACATTGTACAAAAAAGTCAGTTTATGATCTTTGGGGCCGGTCGGGACCATTCGAGTGATCTGCCTCCCATTAAATTAAACAATAAACCATTAACTAGGGTAGCATCTTTTAAATATTTACGTCACATGATCCGACCTCAAGAATAATACTGACATGGAACGGGAACGTAGGGCTCTGTCAGTTCGAGCAAATATGATTGCTCGCAGGTTCGCATGAGGCTCAGGGGATGTTAAACTCACTCTATTTAGGGCGTTTTGCACATCTCTTTACACGTGTAGCCTATGGAGGTACTACACGTAACGGCCCTATGGAGACCTTCGGATCCAATATAATAACGAGTTCCGGGTGCTGATGGGGCTGTCCCGTCGCTGCAGCGCATCAGCGATGTTTGTTCAAGCTTATGTAGATTGTTTTTACGCAGCTATGCGTAAAAGAGCTGTATCTCTGGTGCGCAGGGTTAGGGCCAGCCCTAACGGTATTCTAAAAATGAAAGTGACAGAGTGTACTGTCCCTATCTGCTACACTGTTGTAGTATACATTTGTCCAGCAACTAATTATAAATATATAATAATAATAATAATTTAATGCATGTATCCAATGTTAATATAATAATAGAGTAATTAATTAAAATTTTATAATAATCATAATTCTTAAAAAGTTAATGTAATAATGATTCCTAGATACTTGAAATTAAATAATAATAATAAATAATTCTGTTGACCTATTTGGAAGCCAGCCGGGACCTTTGCGAGACGGACTCAATTCTCTTTGGCGCCGCACTTGCAGTTTGCCGTATTATTGGTGCCAAGCTTCTCACGGCTGGATGCACTACAAGGCAAAGTAGCGCTATCCCAGCCTGAAGAAGAAGGATTGAGGACCGCATCGCAAAGTCAAGGGCCTTCATCGGCAGACTGATAAGCTTCAGGTCGGGCGAGCAATAATAGGCCGAGAATTGTGCGCACTGGCAGGATGGCGTTTGCTGGGACAAATATCAGTTTGTCCCAGCCGGATATAACGCAAAAACTGACGGAGCTCATAGACGACCTGAAGCAGAGAATCGCTGCTTGGGGGAAGAGGATTCGGCGATATACCGAGAGGTCGACACGGTTCAACCAGAATCGTCTCTTCCATAGTGATCAGAAGAGGCTCTATGAATCATTGGAGCGGCCAATGGTACGTGGAACGGGCCTAGCACCGAATCAGGCCGACACTGTCGCATTCTGGCGCGGCCTGTGGTCAGAGCCCGTAAACCTCAGTGAGGGCCCTTGGACGGAAGTTGTGGAGAGTCAGTGTGCGAATGTTACGCCCATGGACCCCGTCATCATAACGCCGGATGACGTAGCTGTGGCGGTCTGTAGGGCCCCGAAATGGAAAAGTCCGGGGTTCGACGGGCTGCATCACTACTGGCTGAAGGGGTTCGTGGTGTGTCACGCTGTGCTCGCCCGACAGTTTCAAGTGGCTCTCGACCAAAAGTCGCTTCGGAGCCTCTTCACTACTCGGATCACTTATTTGGTTTCTAAAGACCGGGATTCCAAAGACCCGAGCAAATACCGCCCCATTACGTGTCTACCCACCATATATAAAACACTGACATCCATTTTGAGTACGCGAATCGTTCGTCGCCTGGATTGAAACCAGGTGATGTCGCGTGCTCAGAATGGATGCCGGGGCGGTGGTAGTGGAACCAAGGAACAACTCCTCATTGGCAAAGTGGTTAAACGCAACCGTCGGAACTTCTCCGCCGCCTGGATAGACTATAGAAAGGCATTCGACTCGGTGCCCCATACATGGCTTAAGAGGGTCTTCGAGCTGTACAAGGTTCATTGTACAGCTAGAGACTTCCTCGGGCAATGTATGGGGCAGTGGAGTACAGTCCTTTGTCATCTAGGCGAGCGGATGACGGATGCGGAAAGCCGCATAAGAATAAGAAGGGGTATCTTCCAGGGCGATTGTTTGAGTCCAATCTGGTTTTGCCTCTCCCTGAACCCTCTCAGTACCTTACTGGAGGACTCCGGGAGAGGATTTCAGCTTCGGAAAGAAGGGACAAAAGTGACCCACCTTTTCTATATGGATGATCTCCAGCTGTTTGCCTCCAGTCGCTCTCATCTTATGGAGCTGCTAAACATCACTTGTGATTTTAGTAGTTCTATTAGAATGGAGCTGGGGATGGATAAGTGTGCGGTCCTCCATGTTGAAAGGGAAAGGGTTGCTAACTCTCAGGGCATAGACTTATCTATGCCCATCAACATAAGGACCTTTTCTGAGGCTGAAACATACCGATACCTGGGTATGTCACAGAACATCGGTGTAGATGAGGTGGGTATGAAACAGTAATTTTGCGATGTGTTTTATGCACGCTTGACCAAAGTGCTTAACAGCCTTTTGTCCGGTGTAAATAAGACGCACGCATATAACGGTTGGATCATGCCTGTTCTCACGTATACCTTTGCATTGGAGTTAACGAAAATTCATACAACGAGTTTGATTTTCCTCAAAAAATTTATTAGCTCTTCCGCTTACACTTTATTATCGAACAATCCAACATTATAATTATTGATCAAATTCGGCGTAACGTCCTACTTAAGCGTCCTTCACTGTTAAATGCCGATGAGCGAATGACTACCCCGGTATCGTTTCACAAGTAATGTCTTTACCTTTCCGCATAGCCGGAAACGGTAAATAAACGAACTGGATGTAGTCTTACAATGTTTTTCTTATTTTACGAAAGTTGTATTAAATTTCACAAAAATTATATGAGCTTAATTATACATGGATTTTAATTAATTATATTTATAGTGATTCGAAGTTTTGAATAAAATCGATAGCTTGAGATTAATTAACCACCGGAAATGGCAACTTATATTATTTAGAATAAGGTAATCCCTAACAGCTCGGCCATCCTGTATAGCGCGAGACCCTTCGCGGTGTAATCTCGAACTACACACCAAGATTTTTTTTCACAATCTTAAATCTAAATTGAAGTACAGAGTACATTTTCATTTACGGGAAACTTAATTACAATTCAGATTTATTTATAAAAGCTTACTATACTAATATAAAGTTTACTATATTTATATAACTAATATTGATATGTATTTGGTATATAAAAAGAATTAATAATTATACCTTATAATTATACACAGTTTGAATAACTGGACATTATCACAAGCATTTAAAGTAATTAGAAATAAAAACAGTGACTTAGTTACTTATATTATTGGTACAGACTCATATTTCGTGGGTTTCTTAACATTTGTAGTATTATTTTGGTTCATTATTATACTTCATTAGTAACTCCATTGTCGCCAGTATTATCATCAGCATCACTTGTACTATTTGAACTATTATCAAAGTCTCTATTAAAGCTCATCTATGGTTGAATTTTGTCCAAAGCCACTGTTCCTTCGTACCTACGACCATTTTTACATGACAACGGCGCCTCTTCAACTATAAACCTATCATGAGGGAGCACTTTAATGATACGATACCGGCCCTGGTATTTAATTACTTACTAATTTTTGCGATTTACCATCACGCGGGACCTGTCTTTCTATCCGAACTAAGTCTCCTACCTTGTACTTTCTACCTGCTTTTCAATGCTTGTTATATCGATCAATATCTTTTTGCTGTTGCGCCTGAATACGTTTCTTAGCCTCCTCCCTGACAGATTCTAATTCATCAGACGATATTACATTTAATGTATCATTAATGATTGTACTAAGGATTCCCTGACTTTGTTATTTATATTAAAGCCAAATAAAAGTTCTGATGGTGATTTTTTAATAGTTTTGTGGACCATAGTGTTAAGACCAATTTATATGTCTCGAATGTGTTCGTCCCAAGCCTTTTCGTCCTTCCCATGATTTGATGTAGCTAGTGCCTCTGTAATGGTTCTGTTGAACCGTTCCACCTGACCATTGGCTCTTGGAGTCGCAACTGCGTTCATGACATGCTTTATTCCATACTCGGCAATTAAATCTTTAAATGATTTACTTGTAAAACTGGACCCTCTATCTGTAATAAGGCGCGTTGGTACTCCAAAGAAACTAATGTGGTCTTTTATAACTTTAATATTTGTCAGTGATTTAGTGTTTATAACGGGTGTAATATTAATAAATTTTGTAAAACTGTCTATTAAAACTAATATATAATTATTTCCTACTTTACTTTTTATAAAAAGACCCAGGTGATCAGCGTGAATAGTATGAAAAGGTATGCTATATTTTTCTGTCAGGTGCAACTCACCTTCTCGCTTCCCACCTGGTACCTTATGGTGAGCACATTCTAAACAGGCTGAAACATACTTCTTAATGAACCGCCTTATGCGTGCAAACCAGTAGTGCTTTTTAATGCGTGCTAACGTTTTTTCATAACCGTAATGACCAACATCGTCATGATTCCTCTTAACAATCTGCCACCGAGCTCCACTTGGCACAACCCATTTTAATTCGTCACCTATAATGCGGTATACGCGTCCATTTTTAAGTTTAAAAGTTTTTGCGGTTGTCAAGTACATTCTCAGTATTGGGATCATTGAGTATGTTTTTTATTCTGGTAATTTCCTGATCAGCTGTACACGCATATATGTGTGCGTGTACTTCGCATATAACAAACAAAATTGTAGGACCTAGGGTGATTTACACATTTTCAATGTAACATTACCTCCGTATTTATTAACGTCCATGCATACAAACTGTATATTTATAGCTCAGATAGTTTTATTTATCAGCTACATTTACCTATATTCGTAGATAGCATTTTATTAAATAAATATAAATAGAGAAATATGCATGCTATTATGGATAAGCTTAAAAAATCTAAAATACCAGGGATGTATGTTATGGGCTGCGACTATACTTTACTTTTGCGGGCACACACAAATACTGCAATAATAAACATTCTATGCAGTTAATTTTACGAGAGGATAAGTATCATAACATTTTATTATGTAATAAAGCCAAACTGCAGTATATAATGAACTACGACTCGTATTGAGCCTTATACTGCCATATTTTGTATGCCTTTAGGGTGGCAACGAATCTTCATTTTATTAATAAGCCGAATATAGATGTAGGTCTGTTTGGGCCAAAGGATTATTTATATTATAGTTATTCATTTACAAGAAGTGAGAAACAGAAACATATTTTTTTTTATTCAATATAGATTATAAGTAAAAATTCTTTTGTTTAATTACCAGTGGTTCGAAAAAAAACCTTAGCCCTGGGATGAACCAGCAAGAAACCTAGCGGGATTTTTTTAAATAACAGCTTACAATCATGTATGTTACACAATTAAAAATTCAAAGCAAATAAGAAATAGCTTGGTAGCGATCACCTCATTCCCCGCGGTTATTATCATCCATAAATTCCTTAATATTATAATAAACATTTTTATACAAACTTAGTTTATTAAATTTTTTAAACTTTGAACAGGTAAAATTTTGTATATTTTCTGGGATATTAGTGTAAAAGTTTATACATCACCCCAAGAAAGAATTACTGACTCGGTGAAGTTGAGTAACTAGTATTACTAGCTTGTGTCTATTCCTAGTATTTAAAGAATGAATATTACTTATTTTTGTAGAACAATTTTTATTTTTGTGTACGTATATTAAATTTTCATAAATGTACTGAGAGGCCAAAGCAAAAACTTCCTCCATAATTTTTGCCAAAGTTTCATATTATATATAATATGTGGATCTGTAGACGCTCACAACAATGTTCAAACGCAACACATACCACTTCTACAGTTCGCTCAACATGTACTAATAGTGATAATAATTTACTAGGTAATATTAAGGATTGTGATTACTGAAGTTAAATATTAAGTTATAAGCTTTAACCAATGTTCAGTAATACATAAAATATGAATATTGTTGCTATTTAAGAACAATTTAATTTCTAGCTCTGCCTACCATGCCTTATATATTTTGATGCACCAGGTGTAAACAATTTTTATCATCACTCTGTGGAGTCACACCAATTTAGGATTTTTAAGATACTTTCTAAATTATTTCAATTATTGCAACTGGTAGAGATTACCTCTATTGTCCCATTTTCTAATTTAAATTACTTGGAACCGATTCCAAATTACATATTAAATCAATATGCTGCTCTATAGAAGCAGGTATCAAGTCCTTGGCTGAGTTAATATAAAAACAATAAGATAAAACATTTGCTATCTCTGTTAAATTATATTTGGATAGGTAACACCTATCTCTAGTCCAAAATTTCTTAATTAAATTATTTATGTGTATTTAATCAATTTTATTATTATAATTATAACAATTTGATATCATGAATAAATTATTATTAAATAAAAATTTATTCATTAATCAATTTAAATCGTATCTTATTTTATTTTCTTGTGACCAACCCTGTATTTAAGGCAATGTAAACAAGATAATTTTATGTACAGTATTTAGATAATCAATTTATTTTAGTAATTGATTTTTGTTTACATTGCCATTTCTCCCAACAAGAATTATTAATGTGCAACATCTCAATGCAACATCATCCTCCTTGTCTACACCAGAAGAACCACCACAACGGACAGAACCACGATACTCTCTTAGTACGTTGAATACCAGTGTGATTTTAAATGGGAAGGAGCTGAGCCTTGTTGAATCCACTGTTTGTCTCGGAAATCCAGTTGACACGAAGCTCTAATGGGGCTCTCATAAATCTAAAGTATATAGCAAACTTAGCCCTGCAGCATATGCTGTAAAAAAGATTAGAGGCCTTATATGCGTTGAAACAGCTAAATTTGTCTTTTTTACTTATTTCCATAGAATAAAATCGTAGTCGTAGAAAACATTTAGCCACCGAGCTTCAGCACGTTGAGCAAGTATTAAAAGACAACAAGCTTCGGATCCCTCGCCTACGTTAGAGTGACCGAGTGAACTCGGCCACAGTCGAGCGTGTGCCTGCTGTACTACCCTATGTCATAGGAGTCACAGACAAGGTTGGCTACATCTTGAATCGAGCTTCCATTAAAACCTACTTCAAGCCGTCGAAGAAGATTTGTCAATGTTTACCGTCCGTCAAGTGTCATATCCCTCTACAAGATGCAGGAGTGTACAAGGTGGATTGTTAATGTGGTCTCTATTTCATAGGAAAAATAAAAAAATCAATAAAAACTTTTGTAAAAGTAAATATAGCTGACTTAAAGCACCGACGTTCCGGGAAGTCTGCAGTTTGTGAACATGTTCAAGATCATCCCCGAAATTACGTTAGATTTGATAGACCACAAATCCTCGCAAAAATACACCGATTCCTACCAAGGATTCGCAATGCTATTGAAATTTAAAAAAAACATCCTAATTTCAATAGAGA